CCGGCAATGGCCCGCCCTGCCGGTGGTGGTGCGCGAAATTGGAGGAAACGGAGCAGCGCAGCGCGCAGATGGGGGTCAATCAGCGTACGAAATGGAGACCACACGACCCTAGTGCCGGAGACCATCGCTGCGCCACGGGGGCGAGGCGAAATACGTCGTGTAAAACGTGGCAGCTGGCGTAAAGGTCACCGCTGCTGCGGCTGCACGGCCTCCTCAACTCCGTGGCGCGGCGGAGCCTGATTTAAAACCACGCGCGCGCGGCCGCCGCCCCCTTTCTGCATCAATATCACATGGCGACGCGACCGCACACGGCGAATCTCGCGTGTCGAGCCGGCGGCCGCGCGGTGGGGTCGCGGGGGTCGCGGGGCGGGCTGCGGGTGTGTGTTTTTGGCGAGAGCTGTTCCATTTTTGATCGGGCGCGATATCGATGACGACGGCGGCGATACATCGGACACAGCAGCAGCAGCAGCAGCGTGTCTCGGTGCCGTGCCGCCCCGGCGGCCGCGTGCGCGCCCCGCTGCTGCTGCTGCTGCTGCTGCACCTGTTGCACACGCTGCGCCGATAAGAGGCGCCGATAACGACAAAACGGCGTGATTTGAACGCGCGGGGCCGCGAGCGAGAGGCGAACGGGGTCACCCGAGGCGGCGGGGGTAGTAGCTCGGAGTGCCGCTTTTAGGGCCCGAAATGTCACACCTGCTGCTGCCGCCCGGGCTGGTCACATGATCGCCATTACAAAATTTGTTTGACGGAAATCGTAAAAAAGTGTGGTACACCAAACGCACCGCGCTATCGCGGCGGCATGGACGTGATAAAAAGCAGGCTCGGCGAATGGTAAAAGGACCCGGAGGAGATTACGTGAGGACGGTATGTGGGTCAGCGGGGGTGCCGGGTGCGGGGCCGCGCTGCGCCGCGCTCCAGCCGAGGGGTGGTTGTCCGGTCCGAGGGTCGTAAGGGCTCGCAGCCGACACGGCTAACGAGGCGCCGGCGGGGCGGGGCTGGGCCGAGGGGGGAGCCCGGGCACGCGCCCCGCCCCTTCCATCGCGCACACCGCGGCGCCGCTGCTGGCTCCCCGCGCGGAACCCTTCTCGCGTCGCGCAGTTGCGCCGCAATGGTCGTTCCGAGAGGTGGTGCGGGGCGCGGGGGAGGCTCGGCGTCGCGCGCGGGCTCGGGCGGGCCGTGAGGCGGAGCGTGTGGGTCCGGTCCCACCACGTGCGAGGCGGAGAAGGCAACCCGAGGCATTGTGTGCATGAGCGGGCTCGAATGCGGGGCCGAAGCTGGGCCCCCAGGTAGACACGGCCGCTCCCGCCGCGTCTCCGTCTTCCTGAAGTCGTCTAACATCACCGTCGGCGAGCGGCTGCAGAGTGGCAACGGCGTCGACGTGAAGGGGCTGGTCCTGGAGGAGGCCGGCACCGAGGCCGGCGGCCTCCCCCGCTGTGATCGCCGGCGCCGTCGCCGCCGCCGTCCGGCTGGGCCTGCCGAAGACGTGCTGGAGCGGCGGCCCCGGCAGGCCTCGGCAGCCCCCGCGGCGCACCCCCGCGCGAGGAGCTCCGCTAGCGGGGGCCGCCCGGGCGGGCGCGGGCCATGACACAGTGGGGCCACGCCGACCCCACGCCCGTCGACACCCCCAAGACCGGCGACGAGAAGCTCATGGTACGGACGGACGGACCGTCATAGTTTAACGCCACGCACACGGACCGCGTCACACATTGTTTTGTCTATCCGCCCGCAGGTGGCCGTGAGGATCCGGCCCCATCGACCTGATGAGGGCCAGCGGGTCGTGCACGCGGTCAATGAAAAGGTAATAATCAGGGTACGGCCGACCAATCCGCGATCGTTACGCTGATACCGACGCGGCTCGGTTTACGCGCCCGCCCGCGCCTATCCGCATCATACACATGACGCCATGGCGCAGATCTCGCGCCGGTGATACCCCCTCTCTCCCCCACCCCTCCACAGGGCCAGGGAGAAAGGCATCGCACAGTCGCGTTGCTGTGACCCGTAACTCCCCCGCGCGGGTACGCGCCGCTGTTGCGGTCGTCGCGTGCCGTCGTCGTGCTCCCTACCAAAGGGAAATGCGTGGCGCACGCCAAAACGTTTTTTTTTTTTTTTTTAAGTTTGCGGCGATGAAAAAGAGGAACTTACCAGCTACACATTACACGCTGTGTCTTGCTTGTTCAGACGCCGCCATCCAGTGTATTATTAGATTAAGCCTTTTACTTGAAGAAGGCACTGGAAAAACAAAGGTAGGAATCAACACCCTTCTTGGGGTGTTAATGACTTTCTCGTTGCCTTACAAAGAGGACGAAAATTTTCGCACCCCATGAAAAATGCCCCAAAGGTGCTAAATTTTAGAGCCGTTGGAGATTTTCTTGGGCCTTCTGAAGTCATTAAAATTTAGCACCTTTAAAAGGAACTAAGTCCCACCTTTGTTTTTCTAGAGGGGGTGGGGGGTGGGGTACGGTACGGGGACGGGGACGGTATCCACCGGGGGGAGTCCTGGGCTCGCGATGAGGAAATAAATGGAGCGCTCGGAAAGCATGAAAGAACTGATGCAGGCGCATGCAGGTCCGCCCAGCCCAGCCCAGGCGCAGGGCCCGCCGACATGTAAGTCGCCCATAAGGGCGGCACACGAGCAGCGGGGCTGGCAAACGGCGGCGGTGGTCGGAACATAAATAATTCCGGCGTGGCCGCCACAGGACAAGGCTGCGCCTCGCGCGGGCTGCGAGTGGCGCGCGCGGCTGCGGCGCGTCCGTGTCTGCAGTTGGCGGGCTGATTCACGCACGCAAATGACAGGGGGGCAGTCGGACGCCTCGCCAGCCACGCGACCGCATTGCGCCGAGGACGGAGCTCTC